TTTTTTTTTTTTTTTTTTTGCTTAATGGGGAGCTATTTCTTTTTCTTTAGGAAGAGTGTTTTATTTCCATAGAATGTATTAGAAGAAACTTTTGCCTGTATATCTTCCTAAAAGAGAGAAGCCACTAGACTTTTGTACTTCAGGTTTGTTTGCTAGTTGAATACATAGTGTCTATTAAAACCTTTATTTTGATTCCTCATAAGTTAGGTATTACTCATGGGATGACACTGGTTTAGTTTATTATGTATGAATTTATCCCACCACAATTATATGTGCTTTTTTATTATTAAGTTATAATTTAAGTATGGCAAAATGTGGAAAATTTAAAGTATAGAGCTGAATGAGTTTTTACATATGAGTTTACATGTATAACCACCATCCAGATCAAGATGCAGAATGTTTTTATTGTCCCAGAAAATTCCTCTTGCTTTTCCCTTACCAATCTAATATCCTTTCCCTTGAAGGTAAGCATTATCCTGAATTCTATCAGCACAGCTTAGCGTTGCCTTGAACTTAGTATATATAAAGTTATATATTCTGTACTCTTTTGTATTTTTCATTCAACATAATGTTTTTGAATTTCCTCCATGTTGTTGTATCAGTAGTTCATTATTTTTTTAATGTTGAGTAATAGTCTCTTGTATGAACATACTACATATTTTTTATGCACTCTGTCTATATTTTTGTTTATTGGATTCTCTGAGTCTCTGACTTCACTTGCCAACATCCTATACTGCTTTCCTTCCTCTAGTTGTCCCCTTAATTTTTCCTCATCACCTGCACAATGAAATGTAAGCTTTATAACATGGCATACAATGATACCTGGCTGTTTCAGAATGCCTGGCATTTTATGGGTAAACAAAATATCATATTTTAAATTCCTAGTCTTGGTCCTAAGTATATGTTGTCAGCTTTCTCCAGCCCCTCACCCCCCCAGTTGCCAGTGTCCCGTCCTCCTTGTTGTAAGCTTATCTGTTGAAATAGTCTATCTCCAGCATCAGTTTGTCCTTTGAGCCAGACCTGGCCATACCGCAGTAGTCTGTTTTCTTTACTAGATTGTGAGTTCTTTGAAGGTAGACACTTTCCATATCTTATCTATCTCAGCACAGTACTTAGTGAATGTTTGTTAAACAGAACAATGAACAGTTCTGTCTCGAAATTTCAGAATATTTGCTGGAATGGGGTAGGAGCTTTAGTACTTAAGTTGTTGAGCTGTAGGAAAGAGCCTGTGAGAGTAATACAGAGGTAGCATTATAGACATTTTGGAAATAAATAAAATATTCCCCATCTTCTTTCAGTTCAGTTGGAATAAAATAGTTGGTCATTTTTGATTTTGATTACTCTTTCCAAATGAAGGCATTAATCCATGTTATGGAAATTAGAGTGTTTGTTACTAATAGTAGTTGTATTAGTTATATCTTTTGTAATAGTTTGTACTAGTTATTTCTCTAAAGATTTAAAAAATGTGTTAGACTAATGGAGAAATTAGGAAGATTGGTCACATCTGTAAGAAGTAAAGAAAACTTTTCCTCATTTTCCTCAGGGTAAAAACTGTTGGAGTGGAGGAAGAACTTGAATCATAGTCTGGAATTGTGAAAACATTTTTGATTCCTATAGCTTAGGAAACTTGCCGTTTGCTGAAAAGTATTTAATTATTTTTTTTTCCCTCACCCGAGGATATTTTTCCATTGCTTTTAGAAAGAGTGGAAGGGAGTGGGGGGTGGGGTTTGAGGGACAGAGAGTGTGACACATCAATTGGTTGCTTCCCGAATGTGCCCAGACCAGGCTGGGGATCGAGCCTGCAACCAAGGTATGTGCCTTTGATGGGGAATCGAACCCATGCAGGCCTATGCTCTAACCACTGAGCCACAGCGGCCAGGGCCCAAAAGTATTTTTTAAAAGTTTATTGTAGATTTTTTTATTAAATTTATTGCGGTGACATTGGTTAATAAAATTATATAGGTTTCTGGTGTACAATTTTGTAATACATTATCATCTGTATATTGTGCATTCACCACTGCAAGTCATATCTTCTTCCATCACCATTTATCTCCCCTATATTTTTTTAAGAAATGAAACTTTTTTAAAACTTTAAAGCATATTTTACTAGTTTTCTTCCATATTTGAAATTTGGCTAGTTGGATTGGCTATTGTAGTCACCTGAGGAGTTTTTATGCCTGAAGCTTGATTGCCTTCTAGCAAGTCCAAAGCAAGGAGAGCTTCTTCCCCACTGGGATCAATTTGCTGCTTTTCCTCTCTGCAGCTTCTGCCATAAAGGTTAAACACAGAGTTGGATGTTGACCCCAACTCATGCTGTTCCTCTGTCTCCTTACAAGGATTTTCTTAGGCACAGATTCTTATTGAATGTAGAACCTTAGTTATTTCCTATATTTCATCCTGGATATTAAATGTATTTAGTTTTTTTTTTGATAAAGTGTGAGTATTCAGAGAAATTTAATCTTGTGATTGTTAGACCTAGTATCTTTAAAAGATTTTAGACTAGGTTTTTTCCTTTAGAGTCTGATAGGTATACCTCAGTTTCAGACTCTTCCTCTTCATTTTGTGCTTGAATATTTTAGTGAGCTGCTGCTAAGCTTTTCCATTTTGCAGAATTCCTAAATTCAAGGATTTGAAGTTCTTCATGAAAGTTTGTTGTATATTAGCTTAATTTTCTTAATTTCCAAATTAACTTCCCTGGGCTTCACTTTAGTAGCACTATAGATGTGCTTCCCTTTGTTGTAATGTGAATAAGCTTCCCTTTGTTGTAATGTGAAAAAAAACCTTTAATTAATAAAATTATTTGTTCTTCATCCTTGATGAGATTGCACAGTGTACATTTGACCGTTTTCAAATATATTGCCAAGCAACATTTAGTATTTTCAAAATTGTATTTTAAAATAAAATTCTCATATTCTTCGATGTGTGAGCAAATACTACAAAAGTGTTTAAAATAAGAAGTAAAACTCTCCTTTATCCCAGCACTGTGCTCCTTGTAAGTTAGCAAAAAACAGCTTGTATGTATTCTGCATCTTTCTCTTTCCATTTACCAATATATCCTGGACATTTTTTCATATATACATTATGTATAATAAAATTGTTTCCTTATTGGTAAATACTGGGGTAAATTTCAGGGGTTTTTTTGCTTGTATAAGCAATGCTGCAATAAATATTCTTGACTATATCATTGGGATTGTGTGAGAGTGTCTGTAGGATAATTTGTAGTAATGGACTGCTGGGTCCCTGTATATGTCCTTTAATTTCTGATATAGATTGCAAAATTGCATTGAGATTGTATCATAACATTCTTATTACCAGTTTTTGAGAATATTTGTTTCCTGACATTGTGCTACACATAAATTTGTGTTTTAATTCTTGCCAGTCTGAGTGAAAAGTGTATTTATTTGTGCATTTCTTTAACTGTGATATTTCTTAAAGGTTTGAAATGTCACCTTCATCATAACTTAATTTCATTGGAGAATATATAATTTGCAGAGATTTTT